TATATATATATATATATATATATATATATATATATATATATATATATATATATAAAGAATATACAGCAGAACAACATTTTCTTTGGTTCTCCAAATTAGTGTCTTTGGATTCTATCTTATGACAGCTTAGTTTTGGGGCTTAGCTTTAGGTGCTAATTTGTGTTTTGTAATTTTGTAATTCCTAATGATTATGCGACGTTAGCATTGTTTCTTTTATCCAATGGTTTAATTACCCAAGAATGAGCTGGAAATGAAGAATTTTGCAAGTCTGTGTCAGGTCATGCAAGGTGCTTCAAGAATACAAGAAAAATTAAGACGATGAGGAGGATGTAAGCTAGCAATGAGGGAAGTTACAAAGAGATTTCGATGTTTTCCATGTCTGCATTATGAACCACGCCGAGGACCAGCTAACCTCCATGATCATCCTAGTGGAACTTAGGTATTATATAAGGCGATTGAACTAATCTTTTTTTGAAGGGACAAAAAGTGGGGGGAAGCAAGGTGATGAAGGAGACCCATTACTCAATAAACTTCCTAGAAATTTCTTTATTGGAAATATATCCCGGAAAAAAATTACTTTTTCCGTAGCTTACGCTCTCCTGAGAAGTAGCAGCTAACCTTGCTATTATTAAAACTTGTTGTTCATAACATGCGAGTAAATTACTCCATGTGTTGCCGTTTCAAAGTTCAAAGTTCACACTTTCAGTCTATGTCTGTGCTATTTTCTGTTTGTCTACTAATGCCATTCAATTCGTTATAGAATATTCTGTCTTTTGTTCATAAACAGCTCGAATTCCTCTTTCATAAATCACTCCTACATGTGTATCACATTTACGTGTATAATCACAATCTTATACGTAAACCGTACGCCACCTCATTTACACGTAACGCTTATACGCTTAAATTTACATCGTATCTACCTAGACCCACAATATATCAAACTTAAATGTGTAAACCGTACGGACACGTATGGCAGGGGATACACAAGGCCACACGGCTGTCCTCTACTTACAAGAACAGTCATGTGACAACAGAAATCAGTGCACTGCAGCGTGTATGTGTGTGTGGACGGGTGTATATGCATGTCTGTGTATGTGTACATGTGTCTATGTTGTGCGTTTATGTTTATGTGTGTATGTGTGCTTGCGTATGTGCGTATGTGTGTCTGTATTTGTGTGTATGTTTGTAGGTCATTTATGTGCATGATAGCTGGCTGTTACCCGGCCATGTATTGCCAAATAAAATCAGTATAAAATTCGGAGTATGGAAGAATTGACGATGATAAGGGACAGGAAAGGAATATTTTTTTTATTTTAAATAACACAGTTCATTGGTCTGCAAAGAAGGATGATGATGATGACAATCGGAAGATGTTGATGCAGTGATGACTCTAGAGCTTATATAATGGGCATGTTTAGTATTTCAAATCAGCTGCATATAAGGTCTTTACATTCTCAGACAAAGGAATATGTTGTTTAACAGAAGTATGGGCATGTACCATTGAATATAATCAGATTAAAGTATACGCATCAATGTGCATAAACTGGGTTATCATATCAGCTGTTTAGAAAAAACCAAAGATTCCAAGTAACTTGGTTATCAAAACGGCAATCCTTTACCACAGTGGTACAGGAAATGTTTAAATGATTCATTACTTCATACTTGGAAATTTAATTTTAATTCCACAGTTAATTCAAGGCGACATTGTATTATTGAATTCATATTATTCTTGAAATATGCAAAATACCAGAGTGCTTTGTGCTTTGAATTTTCTAAAAGGGACTTTATTTGATTCAGCCTTTTGGTAATTCGTTCGTGAAAAAGTTTTTTACCGCTTTTATATTTTTCTAATACTAGTCTTTGCCCGACTTTTCCAAATGCTAAATGAATTCAATTTCCCTTTATTTCTGATGATTTTGTTATGCACATGAAAGCGTTTCAGTAGAACAAGCTTGACAACCATGGCGATATTTCATGATAGCACAGCTTGTGCAACGTCTTTTATCAAATCAAGAGTGTTCTTTCTTAAAAAAAATTGAAATATTTACGATCCGATTGGTAAAATGATCCGAAAATATAACATGCTTGGTAGAAATCTGTGATACGATGATAGTTGGAATTAATTCCTTGAGTAATTTAAATAAAAAAATTCGTCAAAAGTTGCTTGTTATTCGGACAACTTATAGAATGCCCGAATGACCATTATAATTACGAAGTGAGACAGCAAGCTCTCTTCAAAACAGGCAACCTTTTGAATTTCAAAAAGATTTATTTCAAACTCTTTATAAAGACTAATATCATCTTGCTGCACTTCCTCACCACATTTTGAACAATGGAAAATATGGAATAACGGCAATCTTCCCAGGATTTTTGATTGAAGTAATTTTCCGTTATGCTTTTCTTGCCAAATTTTAATCAATCGTCTAAATAAACATAACCATTGTTTGATCGAAATACCTGCTATTCACTTTTACAAAAAAGAGTGAACAGGTGGTAGTATTAAAACGACACTCTCGAAATCATCAAAACACAAACGCAAATAAAGAGTTTACTTGAAACCGGAAAAAGTTTTCACCGAAACCTTTAGCTAATGTTACGTTCCAAAAATTAAGTTCCAAAAATTAAGTTTTTAAGACCTCAAATTTTGTTTGGACAGTGTGATAAATTGTTTAGGTAAACTGGAATGTTCTTTGAGTTAAATAAATATTGCTAGAAAGTAATTGTGTATACATGATGGGATCATTTTAAATAATGTAAAAGAGTTTTAAGAATAGTTATTAGATCTTTTTTATAAAAGTCAATGTTAGACTTGACTGTCATCGCTGCAGGTGCAAATATGTGGAATTAATTTAATAATTTTTAAATATTTTCCTTTATAATATTACATTTAAACTGTTCCGTTTCTCAGAATTTAAAAATCATGAAATGAAATATTTCAATGTTGTGCAAGAAACATTGAGGTCTGATCATTTAATCCGATAAGTAAAAGTAGTAAAATGGTTGTAGAGAAATATGCATATATTAATCTGCTATATGATAAAGTCTCATTCAATTTCATAAAATGCACTGCCTTAATTTTAGATTTTTATGTTAACAATAGATTTTTGCATATTTCGCAAAATTCATGTTGCGAAAGGTTTTGATTAAGGATAAATGGAATTATAAGAACATTAAAAATAAATGTATCATTAGCAGTGTTTCTAAATTTGTGAGCGAGTGAGCGAGTAGAAAGATAAGTCGATAAGCTACATGTCTTGGATCAAAGTAATCTTTAGCTATTAGGTACTATAAGGCGGAACAATATTAGATTTATGAATGTGAATTTGAATAACTCATATATTAAGTACAACTGGATCTAGAAACAAACGTCAGAAGATAATTGGGCAGATCAAGTAGTCGGTGCACCCTTAGTGAGTAATCCAATACAAGTACCCGATCAGAACAACGTGTATGTTGCACGTTATGATACAGAAGGATTGGTATATTTTGGAAAAGCATGGAATGAAAGTGGCGTTGTACAGGTAAGCATCGTTTTTGCATCAATATTTTCAGCTTTTTTTTTTCCTGGACAAAAAAATTTTGGATCTTATTCAAAAAATTTCAAAGACCTTGTGAAGACTTCAACGAAATATACTTTTGCTGTCAAACTTTTCTTACTTATAAATTCAAAAGGACGTAAACCTGAAGGTTTTGGATTTTCATATTAATTCATTTTTAAATTTTTATACAGAATATATAAGTAAATATTTTAATGCAAAATGAATTGTTCCGAATTTTACTGGCAAGTTATCAGGAACAGAAATCGAAGTTCTACCTTCAATTCTCAATTACTTAATTTGTCCTGAGTAAATCCCAAATTTGTGATGATTTCAATTTTCGTAAGATAGTGTTTCCAAAAAATCAAATCCTGTTATTTGTCATTTACATTACGTGTTTCTTGTTATATTTTCAGTGTGAATTCGCTTGTGGAGAAATGAAGTTGAACATCGGTAATAAAATTCAGGTACCCAACTGAATGGATTTCTTATAGCCTGTTGCCGTACATATTAGGAAAACTTGCATTTCAACTTATTGAAATGAACTGAGCTATGTCCTAATCAGCTGAAATGCTACGACCTAATCAGTATTAATAATACAGATTAATTTGCTTCTGAATTCTTGTTTCACGTTCATATTTTCATCTAAAACATTTATCCTGTTCTTTTATTATTAGATATTTAGAAATCATAGGATTACAATGCGCGGATTAATGCCATTCTTAAATATACATTGGTCATTTAATGACAACATGGACGACGGCATATTATAACAAAAGATTTTCTGTCATAAAAATTTAGATATTAACATACGATGGGGATCATATCACCAAAGGTTTCTTCTACGAATGGATAAAATTTGCCAGATGGTTGCAACATTCGAATGACGAATTCCGCGTACCGTTACGTTGTGGTACTTCTAACGGAGTGATTTTCTGGCCAAAAAAAGCTTTAGGAACGCTCAACATCGAGAAAAAAACTGCAACATTTGTATATGCTCAGGTGTGTTTTTTTTCAGTAAGTTCAAATAATCATCAGATTTCTTGTTCTATTTTTCCTGGCAATGAAAAGAGTTTTCCATTTGAATTGAAATTACTTCATTTTGAATTCAAAAAAAAAAAATCAACGAATGGGTCTACTATTGTGTCGGTGATACATTTCCTAAAACAAAGTATGGTTTTAGCAAATTATTTCACTAACAGAATCCGAACTCTATGATTGCCTTATTCTTGTCCGCAATCTCCGCGATAGGCCACCTCACTGCTGCTGCGAACAATGCGTGAAATTAGATGCACTTGAAAAGGTAGGAAATTTGCGCGGCTGTTTTAAAATTTTGAAAATTTTGTAAAGTTCCTAAAAAAAGTTTCTCAGGTTTGTCGAATTCCAAACCAGTCTTACATTTAATTCCTTATTGCGCTGCAGGAAGCACACTCATCAAATAATCTATTAATGGTCAACGAATGGGTCGACTATTGTGTTGGTGATACATTTCCTAAAACAAAGTATTTAAATTTTACTTCTCTCTCAAATCTTATCAAGTTCCAGGTAATTCTTCCTTCTCAATTTTTACTTCCACAGTTAATTTCACAAGTAAATTTAAGGCGTTTAATCAAAGCATTGGATCGTCCACTGAATACATTGAATGGCCCACAGGAACAGTATGTTGCCTTGTGGTATCATTTTGGACAAGCAGTAATGGGACGAGCATGGAATGACGCAAATGGCAAAATTGCTGCTGCGTTTGTAAGGTTAGGAATGAGGTGATAATGATTGATACACATTCATTTACACTTTTCATGATATCTTATCACTGCATTGATTTTCCAGAATTATCTTTTGAAATCACTCGAAATCATTTTTCATTCGTTCATTTATTTCTTCTAAAACTTTCATTTGATTACATTTATCTTAACCTTCATTTATCTTTCATTATCTTCACATTGAAAAATCTCATCATCCCTTCTTCCCTCTTATCACTCATTCATTATTCCTATTATTTTTTTTTACTATATAATTAATTAATCAATTGTTCAACAAAATTTTCTCGCCATATTGTTATCGTACTTACTACCTGGTTATCTCATCACACTTTTCGGTGTGTAACGGCATATGATCGTTTTGGTGTTTTTTTGATTTCTGCTTTTTTCTTTCGTGTTAGTTTATTTTTTAACAATTTTTTCTGCTTTTTCACTTGTAAGAATCATTTCTTGCTTGTAAAGCAATAAAATTTTAGCAGGAAAATGCCATTCGTAAGCAACGCTATTGGTTCGTTACAACTTCTAATGCAGATACCGCCATCTGCAGCTGGTTTCGACTACATCTGGCAACCATATAATGAAGCGGCAAAGATCGGCACTAAAGAGTGGAATCCAGTACATATCGGATTCGCTGCTCCGTGTGTGTTAGTGGTTGATCAAGAAGGGCACGAATATTTAGGTAGGTCGATATTTTTTTGGCGGTATTACATTATGGAGAAAAAGGGAATGATTAAAAAAAGAGTGAGAAGGAAAAACTGAATTATTTAGATTTGGAAGGGAGAACATCGTTGTATCAAATACTATGCTAAAGTTTAGTTAGAAAATTTAATTGAAACAATAAAATTTTATACTCTACATACCAAAGTTTTATACAAACCACATTTAAAAGTGAAAATCTTTTTTTTATTTATTTTAGGATCAGCTGATTTAAAAGAAGAATTTGCGACAACCGTATTAGAAAACAAAGTATTTCGATTAGAAGGAAGCGCAATTTATAATTTTAAAGTATTGCTTTCTCATTAATCAGCTTTTAATTTTGCAATTTTTTGACTTCACGAAATGTGCTGTGCTTGAGAAGTTTCCATCAGAACACAAAAATTGTAACAGCAATTATAAATCTTGACAATATTGAACTTTTGATCTATTAAGTGTCCTTACCATTATAAATTCTTGGCAAGGCTACCCAAGAAATTTGGCACTAAGAAGACCGACAATTTAATTTAAAGCTTCTCAAACAATTGAAATAACTATCCTTTTGAAGCCTGATAAGTATAACATACAATAAACTAGCTTAAATATGACTGAAACATATATTTTTTACACTTCAGTGCCCTTACCTGATTTATATTCTTTGGATTGTAAAAGAAGTTTCGATAAAGTATGTTGGATGACCGTTTGGAAGCATTTTTATAGGTTTTATGTCGCAAAGATAGAGATGATACGCAAGCAATCTGAAGATGATCAGGTTTTTATGTCAAACCGAATAATCAACAGTGAAAATTTTGCTATGCGATCCAATAAATGATAAATTTTACAAGATATGCATTGCTATGAGAAACAATGTTACGATTTTTCCTGCATTAGCAAACTATGAAAATACGATGATTGAAATTATGCAATATTCTAAAAATGAAAAACGAAATTCAAAAAGTGTTGAAGTTCATAATGCAGGAACTTGAACATATGGGCCACTTTGCATTATATTTCTAATTCATATTCTATATGAGACTGATAATTAAGGAGTTACATTAAATATATAAATTGTCAATGTTAACGGATAGTAAGAATCGACGTAAAGTTTAAAACTTTGCTATCATCAGTAGATTTGCCCGTTTCTTTATGTTAATAACACATTCACTCTTAGTCATAGGGTGCATAACAAACAACTATCATAACAGTTTTGGAAATGGCTAATAGTTTCTATCGTTTGATCACTTTACCGCATTCGTCCCATAAATTCAAAATGATTAAGGAACCTGTACTTGTGCGACGAATCTCGACTAGTCGAGAGCAAAATGCTGAGGAGTTGGAGAAGCGAAGGAGTTCAATAATCTGGTCAGTGGTAAAACCGAAAAAGACAGCAGCTAATTAGTTTATTCGGATAAGCTCATATATTCAGTTATTTGTTGGAATTAAAACAGGAGTAGAAATTTCCTTGATGAATATCAAAAAGTTAGTGAAATATTCTGTGATACCAATATATCATTAATTTCAATGTTTCGGAATGCACATTGATCTCTTTGTTTTTAAAAATTATTTCCTAAATTATCGTCTTCGGGGTATAGCAGATAAAGTGATGATATTAGATCTTAGAAAGTTCTATTAAAACTTTAGGTTAAGAAGAAATGCTTTCATTTGAAAAACAATTCTTCAGCAGTCAAGGGAAGATGTAAAAATTGTAGTCATGCCGCGTAATTACATTTGTATTTATAGTTGTAATCACCTATCAACAGGTATAAGAGAGCATTATTATGGACATCTTATTTATTAATAATTAATGATTTTCTAATTCTATTCTCAAATATTAGGAATATTATACAACTTGAATTGTGTCACTTTTAGCGACGAAAATGATTTGTGTTGCTGATGTAGTGTTGATATTCTATAAGCTTCATTTCAGTTTTCATGACATTTGCGCTAATGTCATACATTTTTACACAAAATTTGCTTTGAAAAAATTTTCCTTAAGAAGTAGGTCAATCTACATCGATCAAAGAGAAGATTCTTGTCACTTTACTAATTGAATTCGTAGAACATTAAGCATTCAATTTTCAAATTATGTAAAAATCTCGTCAACAAGCTTGGATTTGAACATGTGAAATGTAGAAGCAATATATGGCTTGGTTCATTTTTTTTCGATACAATCACATATATTTCTTGAAAAATGTAGTTGACAATTCAGGATTACAAGAAATGACGTACATATTCTGATTCAGAACATTATAAGCTTTCTCCTGGAATTACCTAAAGTTTTGCAAGTAGTTTGTTACTCAGAAAAAATGGGAAATGCGGAATCGTCGACAGCAGAAGGCGAAGGAACTCGTAAGCAAGGAAAACCAGTGCCGAAACTTTATCGTTTTGTTGATATGTACGGAGGTGGTGAACTGATACCATGGATGAAATATGCCAAGGATACCGGTGATTCATCGATTATTGACGAATTCATTGAGACGAAGGTTTATAGCAGGATTTTTTCAGTAAATTGTTTGACATTCTTGTAATTTATCATATTTGATTTAAGATCGTTCTATCATCTATCATTCTGGTTAGAAATTAGGAGCCAATGTTTCCACCTTGTGATGATCAGACAAAATTGGGAAAAATCGTAACTGAATCAAATTAATAGTAGTAAAATTACAGATACTCATAAAACTATTCCTGTTTAATTCTCGAGGCATTTTAACTTTAAACTTTGCTATTGCATTGCGCCTTACCTTACTTCTAGCGGGAATTTTCAGTTGAAAGAGTTCATGTACAACTCCGGAAGAGGTAAAATGGTAGCTGTAGCTGAATTGGTGAAAATTCGGAATAAAGAACGGAATGCGATGCTTAGCGCTTTGAAGCGCAAAAAGGGCAAAGGGAAAAGTGGGCCTAATATTCTCGATGAATTTCGACAAGAAGGCGAAAATCAGGGCGATTTGAAAAAGGGTAATATCAATTTAGTTTGTAAAAAATCTCCGAAAATATCAATTATTGATTCCTAATTTTCTTTTGACTAGGGACATTCTAGCTTTTTTATTTTAGATCATAAGATTCAAAAATAATAAAGTCTAATAATTTCAGGAAGTAAAAAGCGAAATAAAATGAAAATCTAGTCTGAAAATAAACTTTGACCGAGACTTTTTACATATTAGTTTATCAAACATTAACAAGAACAACCTCGCCTTTTCTTGCTTACAGTACTGTCGCCCTCGCAGACTATATTTTAGCTCTCGCGCACCACTTGTGTCTGCACAGACCACTGGTTGGCAACCACTTTAAATGAAAACTTAGATTGAAATGAAAATTTGGTAAAGTAAAAACTAAAAAACAAAATTCAATCGTATTGATTATTATATTCGCCTTCTTAACCACTTTAGATTACAGAGATTTTTTCGATAATTTAACGCAATTACATTGCATTTTCAGCTCTGAAATTGCTCGAAGGAGATGATAAACGTGGAAAATCTGAATGGAAGTATCGAGAGGTGACGTGGAAACTGGAGGAGCGTGGTTTAATGGGCGAGAATCTCGTTGGTGTTTGTCTTCTGCAGGGAACGGCTATCCATAATCAGCTTGCTATCAAATTAATCAAAGCTTATCCAAAACTTGTCAATGATATATTCATTAGCGAAGATTACTATGGTAATTTTACGGAATTATTACAATATTAAATGAAAAAGGAGGTGATGAGAACACAATATTAATCATCTTGAATATTAATGAAGACTGTAGTCAGTTGGTTTTAATTCTGTTTCTAATTATTTAATTTGTTTCGACTGTCCTTCAGATCTTGGTCTAACTTCAGATCTTGCCCTAGTTTACTTATTAAGCTAGTGTATGAATGAATTTCATAAATATTGATTGATAAAAATGATTCAGTGAATAGATTTCTGAAGTTTAGTTTGGGCATAGTTTCTAGTTTTCAGATTGTGACTTGTTTTTCAGTATATGATGCAATGATTAGGTTTTGAATTTGTCAAGCCAAATTTTTGCGACAGGTCTCTCACCTTTACATCAAGCAATAATTAATGAAGATCCTGCTATGGTATTATTTCTGCTTCGACATGGTGCTAATATCAATCAGCGTTGTTACGGCGCATTTTTTTGTCCTGATGACCAGAAAAGCAGTCGTACAGATTCGTTGGAACATGAATATGTTGAACTCAGTTTAAAAACTACTTATAACGGGTAGGAAATAATCTTTAATAATATATCTTCCCACGTTGATATGGCGTTTGCAAATTTCTCCAAATAGCCAAAATTCTCTGCGAATTAAGCGTTATGGTTTTTCAGAAATTGCAATACTTCACGACTTATGTGAATCTTAAAAACGTCAACAAAGTAGCCATTTCGTTTAATACATACATTGGTGGAAATTCACGGTTATTTGATTAATTGGATCTAAGCAGTTTTTATTTGAAGTTTGGTGGAAAATAACTTTTTATTCACAAAATATCCAATCACACTGATTTTCATATCCTCATATCCACGTGGAATTCCAACAGATTCCACGTAAAACTTCAACAGATTTGTCAAATGACAATGAACGTATATCCTTGTAGTAGAATGTATTTTGGCGAATATCCGTTATCATTTGCCGCATGCATCAATCAGACCGATTGTTACCGCATTTTAATCGCAAAACATGCCGATCCAAATCGGAAAGATACAAACGGCAACACAGTACTTCATCTAGCTGTAATCCATGAACAACCAGTAAGTACTAATTATATGTCTAATTTACTTATTTACTTGATTATGTATTTCAAGCTCTAAAGCAACCTTTGACCTTAAAAACGTGAATAGCTATTTTATTTGGGCACTCTGCCTCCAATTTCTTATCCTTTACTCGCTGGAATTTTATTATTTCTTTCAAAAGCCTTAAGTAAAGATAAGAATATTTTATCAAAATTATCAATTAGTTGATGTCACTGAAAGAGTGAGGAATTTCAGGAGATGTTAAAACTCTGTTACGATACGGGTGCCAAATTACAAATAATGAACAACCGAAATTTGACACCATTAACATTGGCAGCTCATTTGGCAAAAAAAGAGGTTAGTCATTGGATTATTTTAAAAGGAATCATAAAAGTCAACAAAAATATTACACTTCTGAAATATGAAATATAAACAAACATATATCTTCATATGTTTTGCGAGTTCACATATTCTGTTAAATTACGATCCAGAAATTATCAGTAGTTAAATTCGATATGCAGCATTTTATTTATACACTTGGCTAACTTTAGGAAGCTTAGTATAATCGATTTATTTTGGCAAAAGAAGCAAGCAGTGATTTTAAAAGAAATCTGCAAGTAATAGCATTGCAGATGTTTGAACAAATTTTAAAACTGGAAGCAGACGTAATCTGGATGTACGGTAACGCAAGCAGTCACGCTTACCCACTTGCGAAACTGGATACTATTAATCAGGAAACGGGCGAACTTAATGAAGATAGCGCTCTTTCATTGATCGTTTATGGGGTACCTTCCTTTGTTTTATTATAATTAGCAATAGTATGCAAGTTCTGCTTCTTTCTCATCATTATATACTTCAAAATGAAGGAGGAACTTCTCCGGTTAAGAATTAAACAGAGTTTGCTTAGTTTTATTCAGGAAACGACGAAACATCTACAACTTCTCGATGGTTTATTGGGTGATCTACTGCAAGTAAAATGGCAATCATTCGGGCGAACACGGTTAAGCGAAAATTCATTTAACTTTTACAATATTATTTACTCTTATTTACCAAAGTATAAGTAATGTTGCTAAAATATAGTATTTGTATGAGAGAAAAAAGAGAAGAAACTTTCAATGTTGTAAAAAGTAAACTGCTTATTTGATCGTTTAATTATCGTTTGATTCATTGCAATATAAGCTGAAGAATTTTATCACTTCAAATTATATTTGTTATCAAACAACGGTCAGCCTTTCAGGTAGGATGAAAATTTCTAGAAATTGAAGAATTTCTCATTCTTGAAATTTACCTCAGACTAAGTTTATATGTTTTCAGGCTTGCTTTATCATTTGGCTGCTATCTACTCTTTTACATTTGCACCTTTACTGCATTTATGTGCCGACCATTTTCATTAACTGTTGGGGTATTCTTATTATTACTATTACTTCCTCAGTTTGCTGCAAGAAATGTGCGCAAAAAAATTAAATATTTTCATTGCCAATCGCTGGATGGTTTAAGCAAAATTGAAATCCATAAAGAAAAGATGAAAAAGCAACATTTGAATGAATTCAAGTTTTTTTTTAGAATACTCCAACTGACTGAGCAATTTTTTAAAACTTATTTAAGGTTATTTAAACTTAAACTGACCAAGCATACGGAGGTTTGGTGATGAAATTTCACAGAATGTGTTTCTTAATTTATTTCAAAACCGCTAAAAATCACGATGAAATGCCAAAATTGGAATTTATTAACATATATTGAATAAGCGAAAAATTACAGAGTATTACTGTGAAGTATTATAATACTACGGTTATGATCAATGACGATAATTCATCATTCAACAGAACTGATTACGGCAAAACAATGACAACATTACTGGTGGGAACAAATTTAGTGAAGGATAATGAAAAGAGCCTCCAAAAATTAGGTTTCTTTTCATTTTCTGTATATCTCGGATAGTATTCAGTTTTAAAAGAACGGACTATCGAATCGGATGAATTGTATTCAAATTACAGTTTGATTCTATCTTTTTCTATTTGGTATTATTCTACTGAAATGCTGTCAAAAATATCAAAGTTTGGTTTCAAATTTTGTTAAATTTAGCAAATTGCACTGGGTAGAAAATACTAACCAGCTATTAGTTTTTGCACATTTGTCTTATTCCTTTACTTCATCTATCTTAATTCTGTGGATTTGTTTAATCATTTAAAATATTTTAATAAAAGAATTATCAAATGATGATTATTCGTGTCGTCATTGGTGGTACTTTGGACAAGGATGGCAACAAAATGTATGTCAAGATTTTTCTAGTAAAATTGAAGTGTTAATTATAGTAACCATATTGTGGAATCAATAATGTCAACGATAATGAAGTACAAAAGATCGATTTTACAATCCGTTATTTTCAAAAATAAATTGATTACTTTTATAATTATCAGATGAAACTTTTATATTTTTCATTTCTTTACAGCTTCGTCTAGCAGCCGAGCTTGCGGTACTTTTAATGACCGTATTTCAAGTTGTTGACGATGCAATGGATATTCGTAGCAGCGGCAGAAAGCGGTGGTGGCGAATACTGGTCAGTTCTGCCATTTCTTTATAGCGAAGTTATCAGTAATAAGGACTAACTGTACTTCGATTTATTAGAAGCATTTTGACTGCAGAATATTTTCCTTCTGTCAAATTTCACAACAAAAGTGAAATATTGAATTAATGTTGAAATTATACTCTATTATGGAAGTGATTGAGCAAATAATATGAAAATTCCTTAGCATTATTTTAGAATCTTTTTAGAAATCATTCCCAGCGAAGATTGCATACAAGACATCATTCGTGCTAATCTTGCTGATAATACCGTTTCGTTTGATGTGTTCAGTGACCCCAGCAATGCTTTTTTTGATAATGCACTTTCGTTGCTTGTCGTACTTTTAATTAGCGTACACTTTTTATTTTATTCAAGGTAATTCCTTCTTTTCTTTTTTTGTTAATAAATTTTAGCTAATATGTCAAGAAGAACGTTATAATTTGTATCATTTAGGGAGAAATACCATAAAATTAAAATATTTGTCCAAAATTTTAAAATAAAACATATTTTAATTTTAATTATAGATAAAATAGTGGAATAAGCTTAGAGTTGATTGTAAAAAGGAGGAAAAAAGGAAGAAGAGAAGAAAAAGAAAGGTAGAAATGGAAAGCGGTACAGACTGAATTCGAAACATTAAATTTCGGCTTCATTTCGCGACGATATGAATAATAAATATCTAATATAAACTATAGTGAATGAGAAATACAAAATGAATAACTTGAAATTGTTAACATTTTTAAAAAGAGCGGCAAATTTTTAATGACGTGTTTGTTTGAGAGTTCGACTCATATCATAGGAGGATGATGACGTACCTATCGAGATTTTCAATAATAAATAGTTTTTTTTTCTTTAAATTTGATAACGTTCAAATTTTAGAGCTGTAAAATTTATCGGACCATTCGTTTTGATGATATACACCATTTTGTCGCGAGATTTGAGTCGATTTTTTCTCATCTATGCCATTTTTTTAATCGGCTTTTCTCAGGGTAAAAACAGTAATATCGTTTTTCTTACTGATGTTTTAGCTTTTTTTTTTGGAAATTTGTCTAAAATATATGACAAATGATCATTTTTGGTATTTTTTTTTTCAGTTGCTTAATTACTTGCAGCATTTTACATTATCTTTATGTCATGTAATCGTCAGAGAGCTAATTATCAAAATGGCACTTTGTCGAGGGATACCGACGGTATTATGAATCATCCAATGGAGGCAATAATGAGAATATTTATTATGACCATCGGTGAATTTATGGTTTTTTATCGCAAAATGGTCATTTTATGTGACCGAACAATGATGGTCTACATTGGCAAGGTTGGTAGTTTTTGTATAAAATTGAAAAACGAAAAGAATTGCCCGAAGACGGTTGGATAAGGTAAGGATGAGCAAGGTGCATTCAATCAAGACAGGAAGCCAATAAGACTCCGAAACGAGCCTGAAAGACCCATATACAAATTACAAGATATAGGTAGCTTGTTGTTTACCTGTAAGTAACACTTCACCTCAAGTATTCACAATTTGGCTAAAATACTATAAATAATTCACCATCTATTATCATCAATTTATCATTTATCATCGCTATTGCTGTTAAAATTCGAAGTTATTGTTGTTTTCTTTTCGCTAACTTGTTATTATCCTTAAGTTTTAGCTCTGTTTTACAGCATAGGGTTTCTATGGGAAATAAGCAGTAAGTACAAAGCGAAAAAAAATAGAATGAAATAATTTCCAATTTGGCAACCGAAAAAAGGTTAAATTACTGTGTCGGGAAAGTAAAGTTATTTTAAGGCAATGTTTGTTATCTATGAATTATTTGTCAGCGTTATGCAGCTTAATTTACTGATCGCAATGATGGGGAGAACGTATGATTTAATATCCGGAACACAAACTGAGTGGAAACGACAGGTTTGCTCATTAGATGATTTGATCTTTTTGACATTTGTGCTGAAGAATGATTATCCATCTTGAATTGCCACATTTGAATTTTAATTATTACTAACTTTCATACTTTTAAATAAAAAGTGGGCGCAAGTCATTCTCATGCTGGAGTTTTCACTGAATCCAAAAGCTCGCCTTAATGCATTGCTCAAATATTCACGACCAATTGGTACCAACAAAGGAGAACGAGCATTTGTTGTTGTACGCAAAACCATGGTTCGCATTCAAGCGCTTTAATTTTACAATTTACGATGAAAAGCTGACTAAAACCATCAACCCGATTTCGGATTTCCGTAAATTAGTATGATTAATTAACACTGCCAATAGTAACAGATTTTTAGCAAGCTGATATCTCATTGTTGCATATACTGACATCCTAACAATCTACGGAATAGAATTTATGACATAAATTTGGATCTCTTATGCTTTTATATTTATTATAAATGGCATATAATGAAATGGATGCTCAAATTTTTCAGTGCAATTCATTGTCAGAAACAGAGAAACACCTTCGTGGAATGCAAGAACAAAGCATGCGCGAAAAGAAGCGAGCTTTATTAAAAAGACGACTGAAGGTTTTTGAATAAATTGAATTTAAAATGAGCTGAATTGAAAATATACTGAAACGAGTTGAAAGAAAAGCAGTGAATCGAATTGAAATGGATAATATAGAATTGAACTTTAATTTTTTTGGAATTATCATAACACTGAAAGCTCACGCCTTTCTCGACGGGAAAATAAAATTCCGATCTCACAATCATTCCCAATTTGAGCAGAAATGACAGTTTTCTGACTGTCCTGATCAATTGTTTTTAGCTCTCCTCAAATTAATATTTTACACATACAATTTCAATGCTAATTTCTTACAGGATCGTGAATGAACCACGCTGCATAACGCTTCCGTGCACCAAGGAATCAAATGAACCAATTGTCAGAATTTCGACTGATTGATTCATCATGATACTAATTACTCATCTTTGATTTTGATAGTGCTGCTAATGAAAAAAGAAAACACTAGAGTTCTATTTCAATGTTATTATGCCTTACAAACAGAATATGCAGGATGCTGCCATTACCTGACGAGGATTCGATGTTGCAAAAATTGAACAGGGTCAAGACAAATGCAAAAAAGGCGGACAACAGCATGTTACATAACATTAAAAAGGACATAATACTACATAATAATATAACATTGGATGGTTTATCCAGCCAAAATTTCAACACTTATTCAAGATATAACTGGAAGAACACAAATGCTTCGTTGTTAAAGCCAGAAGTTCCATTTATTAAACAGTTTTCTTCACTGCAGCATCTGAATATTTTGTAGCCTTCCCTCTAGTATATTGCTGCACACTGAAGTTAATGTTGGATGTCGAGACGTTTTGAACATGCAGAGTTTTCAACATTAAAAAGGATTATTCAAAAGTTTTCGAATTTATTCGGAACATATTAGGAAGTATGCGTTGTTAACATATAATTGATTTGTCTGGATAAAAAAAAAAAGAGAAAGCGGTACGCAATATCCATAAGATACTTACATATGAAGAGAAAAAACTTCTTTCTAATAGAGTACTGTAATTTTTTTGGCAGTACAGCAAATATACAGAAAGCTAAACACTGTAACTACAATTTCATAAATTTGTAAAAGGTCTGTATTGGTAAGTTATGAAAATTATATATATATATATGTGTCTAGAAATGTCCACCATGCAAAACCTAAAAAGTGACAGTCTTTCTGTTGTCAATAAATGTCAAACTAAGGCAAAATCACACACACAGAGATCTATTTTCTTCCATGTAAGGATCCTGTTTGTAGCGCTGATATGCGCGGACACATTCAGCCATCGTTTTCGAAGCACGAGATATCGAATTTGTCATCCAAAAATCACCCAATTCAAGCAGTTCCGGCTTCAATAAAAGGTCTGTATTGCCACACTGAAATTTTTATATTTAATCTGGAAATAATGTGCACCTACCGGTCATGTCTTAATCTTCAAGTCCATTAATTACGATTCATTTGAATTAAATTTTAATTTAATTCAGATGCAGAACTATTCAGATTCCCATCCAGAACTACCTACTAATACTGTCAGCTTATTAACCGGTAGCATTTCCTCGAACTATAATTGACGAATTGAAACAAATTAGGACATGAATACTACATCTGTATGAAGATTACTGAAAGTATTTTGGCTTTAGCTTCACTTTCAGCTTCAGTTTACATTTTTTATTATATGACAGCAATATATTGCTTGAAAAGGATTGTTATCAGCAGAAAAAAAAAGTCATGTGCACATGAATGGGTGTTTGCTTGATACAACAAGCTTCTCTAAAAAGTTATGTTTTAATTCCGCTGCTAAACTATTCAGTAGTTGAGTCAAACTTTTTTACGAATTGAAATGATGGAAAAGACACAAAAATCAGAAAAAAAATCGAAAAAAAAATCGCCTCGGCTAACATTGCCGCTTGTTCCTGGAATGAACATTCTTCCACAGTGCCACAGCGTACCAAGTGAGGAGCAATCTGGAACATTTCAAAACATTTACAAGAGAAACTAAGATATGCAGTGTAAAAAATCTGCGACAAAAATTCTGAAATATTATCAAACTAAGAGACTAACCTCAGCCATCCGACTTCTTATTTGGTCAAGATCGTCGTAGGGTAGAGCTTTCCCAGCTACTTCACTAACAGCTCGTATTATTTTCCAGTCTATTCTCGCATCACCTGGAGCAGTTATTGCAGCATAAGCCTATAAATTGGGAAGTGACAAAAAACAAAGCAAAGATTGATAATTCCGCCATTTTGTGATTGCTTCTCATCGTTCCTAATTACTGTTTATGAAGGGACAGGGAAAAAATTAAATAATGAGTCAACTTAGTACGTCGTGCCGATATGAACGTTATGCGAGTATTTCGAATAAAAACTCAAAACACTAATCTCAGTTCTGATTTTCTTACACAGAGCAGTTATATTACCCAGAAAAAAAAGAAATTTTCAAGAAAGGAAATAAGAAATTTAGGAATCACTATATCCACAATCAATTATAAATCAGCAATAAATGTTCATATAACAGCTTGAAATGTGAAGTTGATCGATCAATTCGTATTGCGGTGTGATCATTTTAGATTGTTTCATGGGATGCAATGCGATTTCTTTTGTTTCGAGTGTTCATACGGAAAACTACATCTGATATTGTCAGTGTATAACACCTTCAGTTACTATTACTACATAGTTTTCTTTATTGGAGTACGCTGTTTCGTGGTTTTCTTCCTAGCATATTACCAGCTACTGAAATTAACAACGCCTCCATGATAAAGATATAAAAAAAAAAGCCTATGGAGTAATCAGATCATGAAAAAAATTCAAATGCATTTTTGAAATTGTTCTAATAAATGCAACTTCTAAATCCATTCAGAAATTCCGTACAGAAATTTCGATTCAATCCATGTTTTAATCATTTAATTGATGCACTGAGTATCCCATAAGAACCATTTCGCCCCCCTCTGCAAAATTACTCCAGAAAAGGTTGAAATCACCAACTCTTTGTGCTCGGCCTTCGGTATTAACATACGTGGCATCCTTTTCCGTATAAGCGGCACCTGGTAAGATCAAATTTGCCAACTCAACTCCTACATCACCATGGTGACCTTAAATATACAGAAAAGCCTATACAAGAACCAGATTATGAGAAAATTCAAATGTATATGCTTAGAAGTCATTTTCATTATTTCTTAGAAACTTCAACTATTTTAAAATGCTTCTAGCTTTCGCATTAAGAATACCACACGGTATTGACTTTAATATTCACTAACCTTGGTAAATAACGAAAGTATCAGAAGTTAAATCACTCTGTTTGATACGACCACCATCAGCGCCAAGCATATATAAAAATTTAATATCTTTAGCCGAATTCAAGATCCATTCGACTCCAGCCTAAACACCCAAAACACTTAAATTCAGGAAAATATAAAAGGAAATTCCTCTCAGTTAACTGTTATTCCAGGTATATATACTTTTTATATAGTCATATGACCAAAGTGTTCAAAATTGAAGAACTCTTATATTTGCAGTCAGCTTGCAACTATATCTCAGCGATGAACGTAGTGAAGCTTATACGATTCTAGCAGTCCTCAGATTATTACAAATTACAGTCTACCTTAAGTCTAGTTTTATTTACACTACACCACGTCAACACTGTATAAATTCGAGGAACTCACTTTGTAACCGACATCCAAAGCGCCAACTTGTGATGCATATCGTTGCAAAACATTCACTACTTTTACAGCTAAAATTAAAAAAATATAAAGTATTTAGTTTTTGATCTTCACTTTTTTGTGATGGTTCACTGAGTCTGCAAAA